TGTTGTTGATTGCTAGTTCTTGTGTTGTGTTAAGATTATTTTCAATGGAAATTTCTGTGCAAACAGTATCTGTTTTGCCATCCATTTCATAATCTGATATAATTTCTTCTGTTACTTGTTCTTGTAGACAGGTTTCATTAATGTCCATGTTTTGGGTTTCTTCTTGAGTTAAAAGGTTTTCTACTTCTTTCATGTATGGGTTATCCTCTGTTGGGTTTTTAATGGGTGTTCTGTTTTGTACACTTTTCCTTTTGAATTCTTGGTAGTGTAGTCTTAGATTTTTTGCTTTTTGAAATTGTGCACAGTCTTTTTTAATATGCCCTGTTTGGTCACAGAAATAACAGACTTTTGGTGCTGCCTTTCACTCAGTAGTCACTCTGTTATCATCTATATATGTAAAACGAGGAATTCTTTGTTCTAATTTTGAGTCTTCAGTATTATCAAAGATAATGATCCATTGATCCGTCATATAAGAAGTGCCTTCAATAAGTAAAGGTTTAATTGAGACAATTTTCCTGAAATTTTCAAAGGCTTCTTTCACCAGACTGGAGATGCGTTCTTTGGTTCCTAATAGTACATTTCTTACTTTGATTGGTAAGAAGGATTTATGAGCATCTGTTGGAATATAGTCATAATATGTTTCATTAAAAATTTTAATGTCATTAGTGGCATAATAAGATAATCGATCTTGGTTTGAAAAGACAATTTCTAAATGAGATCTTAATTCTTTTTTAAAGTGTTGTTTGGCTGCGACGATATCTCCTCCCAGACCTTCATATAAAGAGGCCATAATTTCATTGAGAGAGTTATGAAGATCTGGAATTTCAATAATTAGTGCGTTGTTGTTTTTCGATTTAATTTGATTTCTAGGAGAAAAAGCTACAAAGGTTGATTTTTCCCTTTTTAATTTTGTTGACATGTTTGTGCCCTGTTTGGCAGCTGATGCATAGCTTAAAGTAGGTCTGGGTTTGTGCTGTTCCTCTGTGGTATGACTTGTTTCTTCTTCAGTAGTTGGCATGTGACTGATTTTATCATTGTTTACATTTTCATTACTTGTTTTGTTCTCGTGATTTAACATGTTTTCTAAAGCTTGAAAGTTGTTGTTTCTTTGAATAATATTCTCTAACCAGTCCTCCTTATTTTGGATTACTACTACTGGTACTAGCTTTTCACTAGCTACTTCTGTTTCTTCTTGTGTTGCAGGGATACACTCAGAAGAAATGTTTTCAGACTCTTCTGCCAAAGGGTTGTTGTTTTCTTCTCTTTCAACGTCAAGTTTTTGCATTTTAAAAGTTTTTTCTGTCAATAAAAATTCAACTCTTAGAGGGAGTTTTCTTTTCTTAGGTACAAGGACTCTGACCCTTGAGGTAGACTTTTTTGTTAGGTTTTGTTTTGTGTTTAGTGACTTTATGATTATTGTTTTTATTTTCCTTTTCCAATCAAAGGTGAACAGGAAAGAGTTTTTTTTCTCCCCATCTGTAATTTTAGTATAGTCTCAAAGAAAAATATAAATGAGAGATCAATAGACTCATGTTGATTTTTTTTTTCTGTTGAGGTGTTGTCGATTTCATTTTGGTTTCTTTTAATCTTGTCTAAGTTTTCTAACTTATCTTGTTTGTTGACTGCAAACCCAAAACCAAAAGCAACTGTTAGTTACTAAAGATTTAATTACTTTGTAAATTTCTATGTATATGTTTTGCCAATTATTTGTTTACTTAATATTTTGCAATCTACAGAAGAGAGTTTTAAAATATATTCTATAAACAAGTGTAAAAAACAAAATATAAAAAAACTAACAAATAGAAAAAAAAAAAGTATAATAATCAAAATAAAAAAACTCTAATAGAAAAAAAAACTCAAGCAAAAGAAACAAAGTAAACCAGTAGAAAATAAAAAAAGAAAAGAAACAAATGAAAAAAAACGAATTAAAGAAAAATTAGAAAGACGTTAAGACTTATATGAAAAAAAAGAGTATATTTATACATCGCTCTCACATGATTGACCAATCAAATGTCAAGATCTGATGTAACGTAGCACGATTAGGAAAATTCGTTTTGTCAAAAAATTTCTTGCAACATTTTATATTATAAGCTTCTCTTTTTATCCACTAATCCTAACTATATGAAAAAACCGATTTACGTTACACACGTTATAAGGCGACAACATCGCATGCCGATGTATAAATAAATAAATTTTTTAAATTCATATATTTTAAATAAATTTACTTTAAAATTAATAAATACATTTTGAAATTATTTCGAATCTAAATCAGCTTTATTTGAACCTGCTTCGGATTTGAACAGTTTTAAATAAACTCACTTCAGGTTTATGTAATTATTTTATGTTCAAATACACCTGTTGCGAAATCTATCTAGACCCACTTTGGTTTATAAACCTTACTTTGGATTCAAATAAATAGTGCATCGCACAGGTTTGTAGCTAGTTAATCTTCAATCTATCATTAGTAAACTCGTGAAAATTCCCAAAATCTTGTCGCATTATGCAAATGCACATGAATATTCTGAACATATCAAATCTTTAGAGCATTAATAAAAGCTGTAGTCAATAACGAAAACAATTTATTACGAATCGGAATATACATAGTAAAAAGTGAAATAGCTATAAATGTAATAATTCGACTGTATTAATAACCATTTTTATACAATAATAGGGAAAATGAATTCTTTTATCTGGCTTAATTACATAACACTCCCTAATAACTTTTACACTTTAATAGAAGCCGTTGCAGAATTTTTGTGCAATACCTTTGTTTAGAATTTAGCTTTTATTGACAAACGTAGATCATTTATAAAATTAGTATCTATCAAGTGAGCACATATTAAACAATGAAAAACTATAATTGGATATAGTGATGGATAAGAAATATTCAGTTGATTTGATATAAATTTAATCGAAAATTCATGATTTTTTTTAATCTTTTTGTAATTTATCTACATTTCAGAGTATACAATTTTAATTGAATATGACCAACATATATGATCGTGAAGCTTTGCTCAGAACAGTATCTACTTTTCCTATAATTGACAATCATTGTCATAATATTTTAACTTCTGATGCATCATTGAGTTGTCCGTTGGAAGTATGCTTTTCGGAGGCCCGTGGTGATGCATTAAACGATGCGCTTCAAACTAGTGCCTTGAAAAGAGGTGTAAGACAACTTGCTGAACTTTATAATTGTCCACCAACCTTAGATAATATCAAACAAGTGAGGGATCTAATGTCACATGATGACATATGTAAAACTTGCTTTAAACCTACTGGCATCCAATCCTTGCTTTTGGATGATGGGCTTGATGCGTTAGATGGTCTTATGAATGTGGAAAGTCACGCAGGATTGGCTGACGTAGCGCGAAGAATCGTGAGAATCGAAAGTGTTGCTGAAAAAATCTTGTATGATCTCGCAAAATCTGTAGCTTCTACAAATCAAAAAGAGCTAAATTTTGCTGCGTTCGAAGAACCATTGAGACAGCAACTTGAAACTTGTGCAAAATCTGAATCGGTGGTGGCCTTCAAAAGTATTGCAGCTTATAGGTCAGGATTGAATATAGATTGTAATCAAAATGTTGAAGCTGCAGCGACCGCTTTAGGGTACTTTGTTTCCGATTTTGAGGCATTATCCGATACGATGGGATCTGTCAGACTTGTTAACAAAGTCCTAATTGATTACATATTGAACTTGGCAATCGATATTGCTGTTCAGCACGATCTTCCTATCCAATTTCATACAGGCACGTAATAAATTTTATAGTTTTGTCTTTAAGTTGAATCTTAACGAGTATTAAATAGACACATCTTAATAACATAGGATTTGGTGATTCTGATCTTGATCTAATTGCATCTAATCCGCTTTTGCTACGGTATGAATACTTTCATGTTATGTACTTATTTTAGTGTTATCAAAACAACAATTATATCCTTATGGTCATTCTGTGCGCCCTTTCCTTTAAGACCTTTGATTGAGAAATATCCCAACGCAAAGATCGTTCTTTTGCATGCGGCGTATCCTTATTCCCGGCAGGCGGGATTTCTTGCTTCAGTATATTCAAATGTATATGTTGACATTGGTCTTGTTTTTCCTTTGATTTCTGCGTCTGGTCAGCAAGCCATTTTACGTGAGCTGGTAATTGATAATGTTTCATATGGAAATCTTTTCGTAATTTATTTTGTAAATCTATTTAATAATGAAGCGGTTTATATTACTTTATTATTTTCGAATAGTTGGAGATTTGTCCAAGCAACAAACTTTTATTTAGTACAGGTACTATAAAGTCATCTTTTTTAATACATTCAGCTCTCTTTATAATGAACTAGTCGCTCTTATATAGTAAAAATTTTAAAGTTCATTATAGAATAATTTACAATACTTTTAGACTAAATTCTATAATAATTTTATTAAAAAAAAAAGTTCATTATAAAGTGAGTTCATTATAAGAAGCTTGTTATATCCAGAGTTGATTGTATATGTTTAATACATTTTTTCTAAAAAAAACTATTTTAAAAATTAGATGGTCACTACCATCCAGAATCTTTCTATATAGCTGTAATTCAAGGAAGAGAAGCATTAGGCAAGGTAATATAAGTCATTGTATTCATATTTGGTGATAATATTTAAAATTAACATTACTCTATTAACATGGTCATTTTTAGGTTTTATTAGAGTCTGTAGAAAACGGTGAATTTTTATATGAAGAAACAATAAACATCGCAAAGCAGATTATGTTTGAGAATTCTAATATACTATATAAACTCAAATTAACTCCGAAACAGACTGATAATAAAGGTATTTCTATAAAAATATTCTTTATTTTCTTTTGCGTTTTAATGTTAATAATAATACAATCTTTAGAATATAGAGATCTTTCGGGAGGACAAAAGATCGTCAAATTAAAAAAAATGGGTGTAAAATTTGTTCGTATTGGCTTTATGGAATGTTCTAGTCAATATAGATTTCATATTGTTCCCATTGACCGTTTTCAAGACTACGTTGCTAGCAATGGACTGACAATTATGCGAGCTCTCACAGCTTTGCCATATTATGCAGATGTGGTTCCAGACAATATTGGTGTCACCGCAGTCGGAGAATTATTGTTGAAACCTGATCTTAATACACTCACACATTTACCTTATAATCCTAAGCATGCAGATGTTCAAACTTTCTTCGAAAATAAATTAACACCAGCAGACCCTCAATTTGGAAAGATTGATAATTCACTTGATTCTCTGGCTTTCCCACTTTGCCCTAGAACTTGTCTTAAAAATATTATTGATTCTGCCCGTAGGGATCTTGGTATTACTTTTTTGATTGGAATCGAATTTGAATTTGTCTTACTTAAAGACACCTCACCTCCGGTGGCCGTTGATGATACTGTTTATGCTTCGGCTAGGGCTTTTCGTTCTTCTAATAATGCAGAAGTCTTAGATAAGATGGTTGAGTCTTTGCAAGAACAAGGGATTGAAGTTGAACAATTTCATTCTGAAGCGGCAATAGGTCAATTTGAAATCGTTACCGGACCAGAAAGTCCGTTGACTGCAGCAGATAAAACTGTTGTAACACGTCAAACAATATATGAAGTTGCTGCTCGGGCTGGTTTAAAGGCAACGTTTGTACCTAAACCATTTAAGGGACAAGGTTTGCTTTTTTGTCCTGTTTTTGTTTTTTAATCTATAAATAAGTTTACATGATTTCGAAATATTTTTTACGTTAGTATTTACGTAAATTTCTGTTATGAACATTAATTAAGCGGGAACTGGTGCGCATGTGCATCTATCTTTCAAAGAAATCGACAAGTCCAAGAAAATTGTTGACGATCACCCTTCAGGATTATCACCATATGAAAGGTCATTTATTGCTGGTGTTCTGCACCACATCAAGGCCATTTGTGCTTTTGCTTTACCAACAGACCTTTCATATACGCGCATTGTTGATAATTGCTGGGCCGGATCTTGGATCTGTTGGAGCGTTGAGAATCGGTTAATATTTCGGATTTTTTTTTTGTTTAAATATAAAACGATAATTCGTATCGTATATTTATGCTATTTCCTTAATATTATTTTATGACAGTGAAACTCCAATTAGAGTGTGTTATAGACCAAAGATTGGTCCCGATGGGAAATACCTTGATGTTCATTTCGAACACAAATTTGTAGATGCTACTTCTAACCCATACCTCGTTTTCTCCGCACTTATTGCTTCAGGAGTTGATGGAATTAAAAAAGGAATGCAGCTTACTACTAATCCCATGCTCGGTAAGCAAAAACATATTCATTGTAGAATTAAAGTGTTTATATTACTAATTGTAAAATTCAATAACAGATAATCCTGCTGCTCTAAGCAATGAAGAACGTAAGAAAAGAGGTGTTACTGAGAGAATGCCTGGAAGTCTGTCGGATACATTAAAAGCATTGAGGGAAGACAAAGTACTTATTGAAGCTCTAGGTGAACCCATGGTACAATGTTATACCGGAGTAAAAGAGGTAAAGTACATTATAAATACTCTGACTAGTGTTTCGGGTGGATTTGTTCTTAAAAATCCGAATCCTAAGTTCAAAATTAGTTTTACAAGTTACTTTGATTTGTTACTAATTCTTTTTATGAATTATTAGAATGAACATAAACATTGTAAATCTTTGAGTTTTGAAGAACAGGTCAAAATATTGATCACTCGATTTTAACTTTAGGTCATATTCTCCTTTTACATAAATTGAATGTTCTTTAAAGGGCCGTCGATATTGTAAAGAAATGAACTTTAGAGTCCAAAAAATGGCTCACGTTACATTTCTTTTAATACCCTTTCACAAATTAACGTTGTATATAAAAAATTGAATTATTTTTATATTGTTATATATATTCTAAGCTTGTGTTTTAATAAATATGAAGCCAAAACATAATATTACTTTATTGAATTTATGGTGCTTATGCTTAATTTGTTACCTAATCATTGGCTTCTACAAAAAGTATGTATCGTATGCATTTCGTTATTATACATCAAGAAGGTATTTATTATGCATAACTTTATTGCAAGTTTCCTAGTTTTAAAAAAGATTATACTTGAATGATCAATTTTAGTTAGAATCATTAAATTTACCAAGTCTGGCGAGCCTCTAATACGTACTTATGCCACTTGGCCGTTACATTAACAATCTAAATATAGTTAATGCGTTTTTTGAAGCTAATGCTTGTTTTTTCGACCTAACGTTAAAAACCGATGCCTAAACGTTCAAAATTATGTACCACAGTTTCGAATACGTATTAAAATTTTTAATTTGGCTTCAAAAAAATGCGACTAACAAGGTGACTCTAATAAAATGGAGCCGAGTCAATAGAAATCAAGCAAATTTTTTTTAACAAAATTTTTTTAAAACTTCAAAGATAGTTCAACAAATCTTAATCAAATTTGATAAAAAAATTTTTAAATAAATTTATGAAGTTGTAGAATTTATTTTAAAAAAAAAATTTCTATTGGCTCAACCCCAAATATTGATTGATTATACGTAAAATTGGGTCACCTATGCCTATGAATGGATCATGACCTATATAATAAAATATATGATAATATGCCAGTTTCGGGCAACAGTAGAAAATAAACTTCGGAATGAATATAATTATATTGAAACTAGCGAGATGATAGATTTATGTGTAGGTGCTTGATCTTGTTAAAAGCCTATATACAATATTCTTACAACTAATAAATCAAATTTTATACTAGACAGAAAATTCAATACAGTCAGACCTCTCTAAATGCATAGTCGTGGGGCAGCCAAAAAATCTTGCATTTAGGGAGGTAAAAATCTATAAGTGTCATATGAGTTGGGGACAAACAAGGCCATGCATTTAGAGAGGTCTTTCATAGACTATGCATTTAGGGAGGTCTGACTGTACTGTACGGGTGGATCTAACATATAACGATAATATACAGAGGAAATGGGGTAAGATAACTCTCCAAAGACATGGCTATGATTTGAGTCTTGTAATAAGTTTATTATAGTAGTCCTTATGTGCCCTTACAAACCGTTATCGATTTTAGCCCTTTAAATAACTTCTTGGAATTATGATTAAGAGAGTCTTTGACCATCCTTTCGCTTGAAAGTTCGCTTAGAATTTCAACTACCACGCGTATTTTATTGAGAATGTTTTAGCTTCTCGTCTGTTTACTCGCCGATATTATCAATTTATTTACTCACCGATTTTATCAATTTAACCGAAGATTCAAAGCATCGACATTTGTGGCATCTTAATTATTTACTCACTAGTTTTATGACACAGCTTTAGCTTTATTTTCGGAAATGTCACTTTTTGCCCGTAACAATACAATATAAAAATTTAAAGTGAAAGATTTTCCAAGAGCATGGAAGGGTGAAATAAAACCATTTACTATTAACGATAAATTATGAAATATAAGTTTTTAAGACTACCTAAAACTGCAGTTAATACAATTTACGTATTCAATTGGGTGCTACCAAATTTGATTAAATTTATTAGTCGCCAAAGACAAATCAACTTATTCTTTTGTAGAAAGTGATCAAACTGATTTTGAGCGAAAATCGATTGGCATAAAAAAAAATTTAGGAGACTTGCACACCACCCAAAATATTAATCTTATTTTTTGGACTCTTTCTATTACAAAGGCATCGTGCTTTATACCGTCTTTTAATTGTATCTTTTTATTTAGCCAATATTATATAATGATCTGATTTTAATTAGTGTTTCACGGTTATGCTACGTAGGAGGATTAAGTGTAACGATTATATATAAATGGATCAAGTATAATCTAGTTCAAGTTACATATCGATATTATGAGTGCTGATAAAGAAGTTTCATTATAATTCATTGGGGTCGAGTATACTGTATATGCTTTCGATTATGCATTATACTCATTATGATAGATCAATACAAAAAAAAAAAGGAATTAGAAACTGTCGCGTTTCCATTTTTATTGGTTGATATATAAAAATTTTGAATTCCCGCTCTACTGGATAGAGGCCTGCGCGGGACGGGCCGAAATTAAAAATTTGACGTAAAACCCTCACAAATTGCGGGCCGAACTTTTGAAAAACAATAAATTTTATTTTGCGGGCCGTGCGGGCCGGCAAAAGTACAAATTTTTAGGCCCGTGCAGGTCCCTACTGCTGGATATAAAAACCGATGGTATAAGTTTGTATGCCTAATTTGACTAAATTTTTTCTTTGTTTTCAAATCCTTAAAAATGAGATTACTTTTGTATTCAAGTGTTCGAAAAGCTTTTGATTATAAAAGAACCTTTTTGCAACGAACTTTTCATGCAAGTATCCAGGAGGATAGGGATTGTTTTATCGAGAAACTAGAAGGCGAAGATAAAGGTTTGCGTTTAATCGAATGAATAGTATCATAGTATAATAATTAGTAAAACAAAAAAAAAGAGTATCATTCTTATTTGTTTCATAAGGCATCTCAATTATAAATCTAAATCGACCAAGCACAAAAAATGCAATGTCGCAAAAGCTTTTGATGGAGTTTCATGATGCGATAGGAAAACTACGAAATGAATCGTATGTTAAAGTAATTAATTGCTTGGATATGGTTTTACAGTTGTTTATATGGCTTGTTTTTTTAAATAAATTTGTAGCGACAGTCGTGTCATTTTACTAAAGAGTTTTGTTAATGGTGCATTCTGTTCTGGAGCAGATTTGAAAGTAAGATAGTGTTTCTCTATATATCTACTATAGTCATTCATTAACACCTTTATTATAGGAGCGTGCTGGTATGTCTCCATCAGACGTGACAAAGTTTATTCATAACATACGACGAGCTTTTCGAGAACTTGAAGTAAGTTCTTAACTTTTAGGGAAGCTCATATCAATTTATAAGTTACTTGAATCTTTGAAAACTTTAGACACTTCCAATCCCATCAATTGCCGTAATTGACGGCCCAGCCATAGGCGGAGGTCTTGAATTAGCCCTTTGCTGCGATTTGAGAGTCGCTGGTATTTACAACATTCCGCGAATTACATTTACAATTACCTTAAACTGATTTTTTCAATTGTATTTTAGGTGAAAATGCTAGATTAGGACTTCCAGAAACGAAGCTAGCCATCATTCCTGGGTAATTATTCTAGTTTTAATTATTAAAAATTATTCACATATGTTAAATTCATTTTTTAAATTCCAGTGCTGGAGGAACACAACGATTAGCCCGAGTGATTGGAATCGCAAAAGCAAAAGAATTGATTTATACTGGTCGTATTTTGAGCCCACAAGAGGCGTTGGACCTTGGTATAGTCTTTATTCGATATTTATATATATATTTGTTATGTTGCTAACAATGAGATTTATTTTATATTTAAGGAATTGTAAATTATTGTGCACAGGAGGGGTCATCGTATCCGATTGCGCTTAAACTAGCCAGAGAGATTTTACCGAGTGGTATCTATTTTTGATTTTACTGTAGTATTTTATTTTTATTAATTTTTCGACCATTATCTATTTATTACAATAAGGTCCTATTGCTCTTCGAATGGCAAAATTGGCTATTGACCGGGGTAATCAGTTGGATTTGTATGTTAATAGTATTTTTTGGTTATATTTTAAGAACTTGTTATATATTGGTTATATTTTTTTAATGGTATAGAGATTCGGCTTTAGAATTTGAAAATGCATGCTATGAACAAGTTATTCCAACAGAAGATAGAGTAGAAGGTAGAAAAAAAAACCCAATTATAGATTGTTAAACTTTTCAAATTCTAATTTGTTTATTTATTATTCATTTGTAGGATTGAAGGCTTTTAAAGACAAAAGGCCTCCGGCCTACAAAGGACGATAACAAGCTTAGGTAATTCAAATTATTCAAAATAATAAACTAGAAAGCAAATCTTACAAAAGAGTAAAAAGCTGCTATTTTTTTTTAACTTATTAGAGTTTACTTATTTGCAAACTTTACTTTTTAGCTTAGATTTGAACTTAAAGTTTTTTGTTTTATAAAATTTGTATACTGAGAATTATAAAAAAAGGGTTTATAGTAATTTAATTATAACTAGAATTAATTGTATTTGAAAATTTCTAGTTATATAATTATTTATAAAAATTTCAATATTATTAAAATATAAATAAATATTAGAAAAAAAGTAGTTTATACTAGGGGTTATTGATAACCTCCCTCTATTTTATAATTGTTTTTGTTTTTTTTATCAAAATTCAGGGTTAGGAAGCAGTTTATTACTAAAATAGGGGTCATATATAATGGTTCAAGTTTTAGGTTACACGAAGTTTTCAGGGTACTGAACATTTCACTTACTTAACTTACCTGACCCCTATTTCTTAATCAATTTATTGAAATATAGCACCCTGGATAGCAATAACCTCGGTATAAATTATAAACGTTCTAAATATTATTTATTTTAATTAAATAATATTGAAGTTTTAGATCCTATTTAATAATTAAATCAAATTTTATCAAAAATAAATTAAATATTTAAGACTTAAAATCAAGATTACTTTTAATTCTATACAAAATAAATTATTATTATTAAAGCTTAAAAATTTAAACACTAAAATTTAAGTACAGTTGGATCTTCCAAAACTGATAACTTGTAATAACTTATAAAAAATTAATTTATTATGTTTGTTTTATACTTCTTAATAACTAATAAAAAATTAATTTATTATATCTGTTTTATAATTCTTAATAACTATAAAAAATTGATTTACTATATCTGTATTATAATTCTTAATTATTGATATTCAAAAAATTATATATATATATAATATATCAGGTTTGATAGATATAAATCTTTTTTTTTTTTTTTTTTTTTTATTAAATAATGCTCAAGTAGAAACTTTATTACATATAGAAACATAAGTTC